CTCAAACTAGAATCAGAACTGGCCTGGGAGTCAGGAGACCAATTTCTACATCCCAGTTGTCCCCAACATCCATGTGACCTTAGTTAAGTTTCTTTCCCTGTTTGGTCCTTCATTTCCTTCTCTATAATATGGGTGCATATGGACAGGGAGCAGGGAGGCTGGTGTGACAAGATGTGAGGGGGCATCTGAAGGACCTGACTCCCCAGAATCCTTTATTCTTTCCCCAAGCTTTCTTGTCACAGATCCTAATAATCAGTATCCTCCTCCTCATCACTTTCCAATTTCAAAGCACTTTCACGTACATGTCATTTAATCCTCATAACCACCCTTTGGGGTAGATAGGTATTATCCCCATTTTCAGATGAAGAAATTGAGTCTCAGAGAGAACTTGCCCAAGTTCATACAATGGTCAAGTGTTGAAGCTGGGACTCAACCCCAGGTCTTCTGATTCTAGATCCTGGGTTCTACCCACACTACCACACTATCTTTGCATGTTTAGCCTCTCTCTGGAAACTCAAGAGAGCAATGTCTAGCAGCTTCACCACAAACACTATACACCTTTGGACAAAACAAGAGAAGAGAGGCACAGGGAACTGGGGTCCTCTTTGATCTCTTATGAACCTATCCCGGTACGGTAGCAGTCTAAGCAGAGGAGTATGCCTCTACAGCGGTGTGGACACCAAGCCCAGGACGTCATAAAGATATACATACAGGTACACTTGACCTCTTCAACAGGTGACATAGCACACTCCTTGTTACCAGGGTGGTAAGGAAGCTATACCTTTAGTTCAGGGGAGGCCGAAGAGGTCAGAATTCTGGGATTCTGTTCTCTAAGTCCACAAGATTTATTTACCCCTCTGGTGAGACCTCAAGGAAGGGGCAGCTCCTCAATCCTTAGCATATGGGAGGAGTGAGAAGGGAGGGACAGGGAACTATTCTCCCTGCCCTTGCCAAAGCTGAGCCCAGGAAAGGGAGTATCAGTGGAACCAGGGACTTGCTCCTGAGCTCAGAGAGCTGGGCCTCAACCTCAAGGATCATCAGTGAGACCACTGCTGCCAAACCCAGTTGAGCCCTAATGAGTCACAGTGCCTGGGCTCTAGAAACGCTACCAGCTACATGGGCTTTGGCAAGTCACTTGCCCTCTATGATTCAATTTGCTTCTCCAAAAATGTGGCTAATGACTGTTGGGTCTAGCTCAGAGGGGTGCTTGGAGGTTTCCAGGACATAAACAAACTGGAATGTTTTAAAATGTACTTTATGATAAACACATGCTTTCATTCTTCCATAGCTGGCAAGAGGAGTGACCCACTCACTCCTTCCAGGCAACAGGAAATTACACACAGGTTGGGCAGCAAGAGGGCATCAAGCCAGACAGAGGCACTTCAGGAAAGGCTGGGCTGCCCTGAGGTAGAGGGGCTGCCCAAGCTCACTTACACTCTTCCTTTTTCATTTGACCAACCAACATTTATCAAGCATTTACTACAGGACAAGTGCTGTTCTGTGTGAAGATAAGGCAGCGAAGGAAAGAGAAAATGGCCCTGTCACAGAGTTTATATTCTAGTTGTGGGAGACCAACAAGTAAACAGCAAACATGTCAAACATTGGCAGGTTCTGTGCTGAATTAAACTGGGTAAGGTTAGTAGTGGTGGTAGAGAGGCGCTATTTCATACAGGGTAACAGGATGTCTGAGTAAAGACGTGAAGGAAGTGAGGGGACAGTCTGGGGGACAGCCACACCTTAGGTCTAGGCTAGTGGACACAAATTCTGGAGAGAGACACACACATGCATAGCAACAGAGACAACTCCCTACCATGCTGGTCCGGTTTGCTCCCCTTGGATTTATTCTCCACTCTTTTCTGCTCTGTTGCCTCCAGATTGCATCCCTGGGTCAGCCTTGCCATCTGCCTTTCAGTTATGTTTAGCCAAAGGCCCCAGGAGATTGAAGAGGATAAAAGAGAGGTAGGCTATGGACAATCCCACTCTCTTTGCCTGGCCCCAGTTGACAGCGGCTGCATTCCTCTATACCACAATATCCATCTGCCTTCCACAGCTCCTTCTGGAACCCATCCCCAAAAAGCCTTGCAGGATTAGCCTTCCAGATGTGCAGGTGTACCTACCTGTGAAGGGATATGTTGTCCATGGATACCAGCTGGATGGCCTCTCTCACCAGGGCAGGAAGGGGAATTTGGGCGCTAGAGATACCCGTCACAGACAAAATGTGAACCACGGCCTCACTCCCATCCCTCAGTGCTCCAGCTCTATCAAATTATTCATACCAGCAAAAGCAGGAACAGAATTTGGGGGTTCTAGAGTCCCTTAGGACCTCACTGCCCCAGAGGTAGAACCCGCTCCAAGATCCAGCCCAACTTCCCACCTGAAGGAATTCAATCTACCTACCTCCAACAATCAATAGCTCATTACCCAATTTATTTCCTTGATTATACATTTGTCACTATTGGAAAAAGCTCAATGTGTAGGCCTGCTCTACCTGATTAGACTACGTATGTCATCGAAGCACAGAATTTATCTTGCTCTGTGTGACAGCATCCTAGGCTCAAGCACACAAAACTCAGTACATGTTTTGCATCAGGGGCAACGGAAAGGAGGACAAAGCACCTCTGCTCCCTGACACTTCCACAACCGCTTGGCATCAGGGGTGGGCAGATACTCTCGGAAGTACTGCCCATCTCTTCAGGTGTGTGGGGGCAGGAGCCCCCAAGTGGGACAACCAGGATAATGCAGGAGCCAGAGAATCACTCAGGTTCCAAGCGTTTCCACCTTTCTAAAGATCCCCCACTTCTCCATAGGGTACAGGCCTCAGGGAAGCACAGAAGGAAGAGTAGGAGAGCTACGAGCTCCTTGGTCATAGGAGGGCTTGGCCAAAGGTTCTAAGAAGCTAAGCTCCTCCAGGTCTAAGACAGCAGCTGGAAAACTGCCATCTGGACCTGCGGCTGGTAAACAGGGAAGGCAACATGTGCTATAGCAAAAACCCCAAATGTGGCTCAGCTGGCCATCTCCAACAAGGGACCTAGAAAGCCTTGTGGGTGAGTACTGCTGGCTAATTTTCCCAGTTAAGGGGCCTCAGACTAGACCCTACAAATAAGACCTGATTCAAGCCCATCAGTCTCTCTTTGCCTGATCTTCTCTCTTCAGCCCCCATTCCACTCCACCCTAGATACCCTCTACGCCCACCCATGTGTGGCACCACTGTCACCAGGGCAGCCCTTTGGACTCCCCTCCCCCGCAAAAAACCCAAACAGCTCAGAAGTGCATCAATCGACCTTTAATGTCCAAAAGAGGCATGGATGCAGAGCATAGGAGATGTGGTGGGGTCTCAGCCCCTGCTCCAGAAATGAGGGAGAGATGAACACAAACCAGACATTTCCAACTGGCCACACAAGTCTGGGAAGGCAGGGGGAAACACAGATTTGGACATTCATAAAAAAATAAAACCTAAAACCAAGCACTCAATCTTGTGTGCACTGAAGGGTTTGATATAGGGAACTCACTCACCATCCCAGTAACCACCCTCCCCTGTCAGCATCAAAAAGAAAGCTCGGCACACACTAAAGGCTTGGGGAGGGGGAATTCTCCTGCCTCCCCGCCAGCCCCAAGAATGGACTCAGAGGAAAAAAAAAAAAGAAAAGAAAAGAAGAAAGAATGAGCTGGATCCCAACCACCCTCCTCCCACAGTGCCAACCCTACAATGAGAGTTTTAGATGCAATTTACAAGAATCAGCAGCTCAGTCAGCAATGATCCTCCCACCCCCATCCGTGTTTGATCCACAGACAAGATTTCCCCCTGCACTCTCCTTGGAATCTCCTCCCACTAGCGGCCCTGCTCATCTCCTGATACCTGGCTTCACCACTGCAAGACTAATCCCCTCCAAAGTTCCTCCAAAGGTCCTTGCAGCCCTTTATCACTTCCATCCCCACCTCCCATAAGGACTGCAACCACCCACAAAGTCACTTTCCGTCTCCACTAAGAACCAGTTCCAGGGCAGATGGCATCATGGCCATCTCCTCATGGCCTATCCTCCCAAAGCCTTCTGGGGAACAGACAGCCATAGGGCAAGCAGTGTCTGGGCCAGATGGCCTGGGGGGAGGGGGTTGACAACGGTCTTCACCCCCAAAACAGACACCCCCAGAGGTTTTTAACATAAAGGCCCAATTAGAACTAACCGTGCAGCCTATCTACCCATACACCCTAGAGATTCCACACTGTCCTGCCCCTCCCTCCCCTCTACCCCAAACCAAGACACACACGCACACACACATACACACACATATACACAAAGGAGAATCAAGGGAGACATTGATTTGGTTTGATTGCTAAGACTTAACTAAGGAACTACAGTCACCAGAAATTCCCTTGCCAGCCAACTAACAGGGGCTGCTCTAAGAGAACTCCAGAGGAATGAGAAAACCAAGGGCTAAGCAGGGAGCAGACAGAAGGAGAGAAGAATGAATAGAAGAAAAATCAAGCTAATCCTACCCCCAACATCCTCCTAGCATGAGCTCTGGCAGGAAGAATAGAAGAAGGTAATCCACAAAGACACAGCCCTTACTTTGAAACTCTTCTGACAAAGACAGCAAGACAAGTCTGCTCCCCACTCCCACACACCACAGACAAACACGTCTCAGGGCCCCTCAAAGAATCCACCCCCCACCCCACCCTCTGCCCCAAGCCGTGGAATCACAGTTCAGTGGAATATTCTCCCTGGTACTAGATCAATCCCCCTAGCCTCCTTCCTATCCCTCTCTCCTTGCCAAGCCTTATGCTGCCCCCAGCAGCCTCTCCAGCCCTAGCAAAGCAGCACCCACCACCAGGAGGAGGTGGCTGCACAGTTTGAGTTCCGCCTCCAGAAACCGACTGCTCTCCCCCTGCCCTCCTAGTCTTACAGGCTTCGTTGAGGGCTTTTTTTTTTTTTTTTTTTCTCTCTCTCAGAAAATTAAGAGTAGCAAGCGGTGTAATTCTGTAATCTCTCAGGATCCACCCATTTTTTTTTTTTTTTTAATGTAGGGAGAGAAAGAGAAGAGGGAGGGGTGGGAGAGATTTCCTAGTGCAATACAACCAAAGAAAAGATTTTAAAGTCTTGAAAAATAAACATAAAGCAGCCTTCTTCCCCAGGCAACTAAACAGAAAGAAGTTTGGTTTTGTTTACTGCGACATACACATGAAATCGAGTATACAGTCCATGCAGTAGCACAGCCATTGGAGAGGACATCCTGATGCTGGCCCCGGTGCAAAACAGTCCCAGCAACGCCGCCTGCCTGCCATCGCTGCCGCCGCCACGGACACCTCCACTGCGGCCTCCTAGCCGGACTTGAACAGGAGGATTGCAACTTGACCCAAGTAAAAATAGATGAAGTGCTTTGTCTCGTGTGTAACATAGCTGCCAAAATTTCGGCCCACGATACAATGCCAGGTAGGGTTATATTTCTTGTCAAATTCCTAAAAGAAGAATAAAAGGGAGAGAAGAAAGGTGATTAGGACAGCTGGAAGATGAGAAATCGGAAGAGGAATCGGATTAATTTAGTTATCACCCCCCCCCCCAACCCCTAGCCCACGGCCTCAGCTCACCAAACCTCAGGAGCTCAGGTTAAGGCTGGCTAGGACAGTCCTTCCTTCATTAATAATGGAACACTGCAAAGGCTCCATTATTTCTCTCTAGCACTTTACACCCCGATCATCTCTCCTCCTCCTCCTAGCTACCCTACTCTGTAGTCCACCCTGTGATTCTTTAGCAAAGGAGTCAGGAAAGCCCAGGGCATGAGAGACCACTCCAGTGTCACACAGCATGAGGAAAGCAGAGGAGAGCCTCCCTGACTTGCCACCTGCTGCCTCCCACATTACTAAACCAGCATTTCCAAATGCCACGAACCCAGACCCTAGAGCCAAACGCCAGGAGTACCAGGAAGCAGTTCTTTGTAAGTCAACATTAAAGGCACTCCTGTGTGCCAGGTACTGTGTGGGCTGTAAGCAGCAGAACAAGGACATCGGCCATGAGATCAAGGCAATTCCCTCACTTCTCTCAGGGGCACAAGTTCAGCATCAAAGCAACCTAGGAAATCCTTATGACCTAATCAGACAGGCAGTTCCCAGTCACTCCATAGATCCAGCAGGAAACAGATGGCTCAGGAGATGCACCCCGCCATGCAAGAGACCTCCACCATGGACCCAGCAAAGCTTCCAACCCTGGGACTGTCCCCCAGGTTCTTAACTTACAACTTGTTTGGCCTCCTCACTGCCCCCTACACCAAGGGACTCCAAGAGGTATTAGGGAACAGTGGAAAGGGGATGGGTCACCACATCCAGCCCTAATGCAGACTCTGTAGTATAGGAGAGCCCTAGTCACTTCCCTGGTTCTCATTTTCCCCATCAGCAAAACAAAGAAGCTAGGCCAGATATAATCTAAGGATTCTCCTGACTCAGAGTCCATGATTCTGGATCCTCCTCCCTGTACAGGACAGATAAGGCATCACTCAGCAAGGAGCCAGCACCCCGAGCTGGCTCTTCACCCACTGGCTCCTTATACAGATAGTCTCTCAGGACTCGAGTTTCCTCTTCTCATCCCACCCTGCCTAAGTAGGAAAGCAGAAGTCTGTAAAACTTAAGGATGCCCTACCACCTCTATGGACCAGGAAACCACTACACTTAGGCATCCCTTTTGGGATACTAGGGCTGAAAACATCAAAGACTGGGATTATGACACTAGCAGACATGGATTCTGACTGGGAATCAGAGGCCCTGGTACCACTTCTCACTTCTAGCTCAGCGGCTTCCTGTGTTAACCATATTCATTCACCCATTTGCTCAGGAATTTTTCAGGGACTAAACCTATTACCCCAATATTGCTCATCCATTTTTAGCAAATTATATATTCAAGCCCACCCTTTTTTTTTTTTTTAAAGATTTTATTTATTTATTTGAGAGAGAGAGAATGAGAGACAGAGAGCATGAGAGGGAGGAGGGTCAGAGGGAGAAGCAGACTCCCTGCCGAGCAGGGAGCCCGATGCGGGACTCGATCCAGGGACTCCAGGATCACGACCTGAGCCGAAGGCAGTCGCTTAACCAACTGAGCCACCCAGGCGCCCAAGCCCACCCTTTTCTTAAGAAGGTGAGGAGGAGATGATATAGTACCTGAATCCTTTTCAAGAGAAAGAAAACTTCCTATATGATAGGATTATAGGGATACCCCACTTTAAATGATGCAGTTCCTTGAAAAATTTGTATATGATCTTATATTAGCTATTCAATCATCCTTGATCTATATTTTGAATAGTTCTGAACTGAGCCAGTTACATTTGATCCTAAGCTTCTCTCCCCAATGCTTTGCAGTCACATAATTATCTATAAACACACACACACACACCACACACATAAGCACACCTCAGCAGAGTTCCTATTAAGAACTCCAAAGGTGAATGCTTTGGCAAGAATCATTCCCTAATTTGTCTGCTTTGTAAGCTCGTGGGTTTTGTTTGCATGGACTATACCTGCTTTCCTAAGCCCTCAGTTCAGACCTCCCTGGGGCACAGCTCAGATGCCCATCCCTACCCCTAGCCAATAGCCACAGCATTCTTGGTGCACCTTCTTGATATAGGCAGCAATGTCCTTCTCTATGTTGTACTTCTCCATGGCCTGCGTGGCGCAGTCAACGGCATCCTGTTGCATGTCCTCAGACATGTCTGCATTCTTGATCACTGCCTTCCGGTCAGACATCGTGACACTGCAGAAGAAGCAGAGAGGTCAAACTGACAACCCCATGCTCTAAGCAATGAACATTAGCAGCTGAGGGTGGAACCTCAGTGGGGGAACAGAGTACAGAAGGTGATGACAACAGAAAACACAGACATGAGGCATTATTAGAAGAGGGAGGTCCTAAGCTTTTAGCAAAGACCTGGTCCCCAAACCTGAGAAATACAAGGTAGATAAGAAAAAAAGACATAATAAGCCATCAATTTTTATCACTTGTAAAACAAGGTTTTTCCAACTCTAAATTTATCTCTGATATTTTAAATAGCACCAATTGCCAAGATATTACAATATATCACCTACTAGCTGTGTCCTTGGGCAAGTTACCCTTTGTGCTTTCATACCATCATCTTGAAATGGAGACTTCAGGGTTACTGAGGGCAAACCAGGTGGCATTAACACCTGAACACTACAAGCCCTTGATTTAATGACCATTATTGCATCATTGGTAACACAGTGAAAAGAAGATGGACTACAATCAGTAGGCCTGACTTCTGGTCCTGACTATGAACTCTTGTAGTCTTGGACAAGTCACTCAGCCTTACTGCATTCATTACTTCCATTTTAGCAATGAAGATAGCTCTCTATCAGGGGTTGTTGTAAGGATTAAGGCTCTATGAGAACATCTGCAAACAAGGAGTGTACACTGGGGTCTGTCGGCCAGATTCAGCCCACCACCCGTTTCTGTAAAGTTTTACAGAACAGTCAACAATGGCAGAGTTGAGTAGTTGCAAGACAATGCAAGGCCTGTAAAGCCTAAAATATTTACTATCTGGCCTTTCACAGAAAAAGGTTGTCAATGCCCAGCAGTGACAGAGATTAACAAAAGGTGAGGAATTATTTTAACAGCCCCGTTTCCTATCCCTGCTATCTAAGCCTTGGCATTCACATCCTACAGCAACCAGAATTCTGGGGTAGACCTTGCATAGTCCGTTCCTGGGATGACAGGAATCCCAAGAAGGCTGGTCAGAACCTGCCTGGCAGTCTAGAGCATGTGAGTGCTTTGCGTGAACAGAAGAGATGAGCTGCAAAAACCAATCCTCTGTCCTTGACCACAGTCCCATCACACTGATCCCCCATACCCCCCCCCCAAAAAAAGAGGACTCTGTCACCCAGCCCAGTAGACAAAAGATGTCGTCATTCCAGCCCTGTCGGATATTAAGGCTACACAGGAGGCCTCCCTGCTCAAGGAGAGATCCCTGGTATCATTCCAGGCCACCCTGATCTCTGCGTCCACACTAGCCTGTGTGCTGGGTGGACTGAAAGGGAAGCAGAACTCATGATTACTCCTTTAGCCTGCACCAGATGCAAAGGAAGCATACATGCCAGCTGCCAGCCACACAGCCCTTGACCGCACCCAAGGCACCTGAAACTAAACAGCGGGTTCTATTTCAGCAGAGACTGGAAGAGGAAAGGGTTAGCGGACCAGCAAAATCCGACCCCACACCCTTTGAGGGAAAGTCAGAGCTTCAAGGAGTATGTGAGCACCAGCAGGTGCTGAGGAAAAGGTCAGGAGAACCCTGTTCAAGGCCTGACTAGCTAGCTACGTGACCTTGGGCAAAGCAACATTCTTCATTTTAAAAACCCATGGCTGAAATAAGATAAACGGGGAAACTTCAATGAGTTTGAACAGATATACAACAGCAAAAGAGGAAGAATGTTCTGATTATTACAAGGCTCTTTGTATTTGAAGAAAACTAGTGTCACCTGGTGGCCTATTCCAGGTTACCACTCAGAAGGGGGCACTGTTTACAAACGCAAGGGTGGGGGTGGGGCCCGGTTAGAGACTGTGAAGTTAAAGCATGAAATTGGCACCGGTTTTCCCAGCAAGCTCACCTGCTCCACCGCCTCATCCCCAAAGTCCAAAGGAACAACTTTGTCACAGTAACTAAAAGCCACCTTACTCTCTAGTAGCAGAGAGCCTGAGGTTACATAACATCGGTCTTGTGACTACAATGCTACGATTCTTCACCCCTGGCCCCCCAGGCGTCTGAGGGGTGAGGCCTAGCCCCAACCTGCCCTGCCCAAGGTGCCAGTGAGAAAAGGATAAGGTGGTGCCCGGCCTACCCACCTCCCTCCTGGGACAAAAAAGCAAGGAACCTGGGCCTCCGGCAGAAGGATGACCAGAAGGCCCCAGGCCAGCTCCTCAGTTAAAAGCCAGGGGCTCTTTGGAAAAGCGAAGAGGGCACTCCAGGACAGCTCTCCATCCCCTATCCCCGGTTTTGCGACAGGAAAGGCCAAGTCTCCGAAAGACCTGGACCACCCTCCCCAGCCCCCAACACACACAAATGCTGGTATTCCCTCCCCTGAGATCTCCAAGGGGGCTTATCCCTCCACCATGGCATCCTCCGGAGAGCTGCGGCCCCCAAAGGCCAGCACCTCGGGCATGAGAAAGCATCCTCCCCCCAACCTCCGCCCCGGCCGGTCAGCCGCCCTCCCCCGCCCGGCCTGGAGCAGCGCCGGAGTGACTGGGCGTCCTCGCTGCAGGAAGGACGCCCCAGAGGGTGGCGGCGGCAGGAGGCGCCGCGTCACGCCCGAGCCCTCTCCACCCCCTCTCCCTCGGCCCCGAACACCAGAAGCCTCCACGCAGCGCAGGGAGACTCCCG